ATGCTCTGAGGGTCGGTGTGGACTTGTTGGGCCAAAGGGCCTGTTTCCACACTGTAGGGATTCTATGAACTGACAATACGGAGACATGAACAGCAACTAGCCACCAAGAGACACGACCAATTCTCACTGGTCTCAGTACATACAGACAAAGGAGGGCACGAATTTGACTGGGACAACACATCCATAATAGCACAAGCCAGGGAATTCCTGGAGGCGTGGCGTTCCGACCAGAACTCCATCCACAAACAGATTGAACTGGACCCAATATACAAACCACTGAAAAACAAAACCGGAAGTGATGCCAACCACCCCAGCGTACCGAGGCATATAATTAACAAGCGGGACAAAACACCAATGCTTCAGCCGAGGCGCACTGACAATGTTATCTAGCAGGGTGATGAAACGCCTGCAATCAAACACACTGACTCGGCAAGCAAGAATAATCTAGCCCCTTGTCTCTCTAGTCATAGCATGGATATGGAACATGTCAAGGGACAGAAAAGAAAGACCACATATATGGCTCTCGTCTCCCCAGTACCAAAAGTTCCTCTCCCCTTGAACCATGTTAGTATATCTTTTCTGCAAGGTTTCAAATACCTAACGTGTCATTCAGATTTGATTACAATTCTCTAGCTGACGTTCACTTTAAATGATCTAAATGCATCAACATACCTATGTGTTTTTTGTTTTACTTGTCCTGTTAACGGAAAATGTTTCTGTACAAACCAATGGGGAGGCAGTGGCCCAGTGGTGTAATCGCTGGATTGTTAATTCAGAGACCCAGATAACGTTCTACCACGACAGATGGTGGAATTTGAATTCAATTTTTTTTAAAAATCTGGAATTAAGAATCTAATGATGACCATGAATCCATTGTCAGAAAAACCCATCTGGCTCACTAATGTCCTTTAGAGAAGGAAACTGCCATCCTTACTTGGTCTGGACTACATGTGACTCCAGACCCACAGCAATGTGGTTGATTCTCAAATGTCCTCTGGGCAATTAGGGATGGGCAATAAATGCTGCCTAGCCAGCAACACCCTCATAGAACATAGAACAGTACAGGCCCTTTGGCGCACGATGTTGCACCGAACTTTTACCCTAAACCTAAGGTCTATCTAACCGCCACCCCTACCTTATACTGTCGTGCACATGCCTATCTAATAACAGCTTAAATGCCCCTAATGAGGCCAACTCCATTACCTCTCCAGCAATGCATTCCACACCCCTACCATTCTCTTGAGTAAAGAACCTACCTCTGACGTCTCCCCTATATCTACCTCCATTCACTTTAAAACTATGTCCCCTCGTAAAAGCTACCTCCACCGTAGGAAAAAGTCTCTGGCTGTCCACTCTATCTATACCTCTGATTATTTTGTACACCTCTATCAAGTCAACTCTCATCCTTCGTCGTTCTAAAGAGAAAAGCCCTAGCTCTCTCAACCTTTCCTCATAAGACCTTCCCTCCATTCCAGGCAACATCCTGGTAAATCTCATCTGCACCTTTTCCAACTCTTCCACATCTTTCCTGTAATGAGGCGACCAGAACTGGACACAATATTCCAGTTGTAGCCAAACCAGGGTTTTGTATAGCTGGAGCATAACTTCACAGCTCTTGAACTCAATCTCTCTATTAATGAAAGCTAAGACACCATACGCCTTCTTAACAACTCTATCCACCTGGGTGGCAGCTTTCAGGGAACTGTGGACATGAACCCAGAGATCCCTCTGCTCCTCCACACTGCCAAGAATCTTTCCATTAACCCTGTATTCTGCTTTCAAATTTGTCCTTCCAAAATGAATCACCTCACACTTTTCAGGGTTAAACTCCATCTGCCACTTCTCAGCCCAGCTCTGCATCCTATTAATGTCCCTTTGTAACCTAGAACAGCCCTCCACACAATCCACAACTCTACCTACCTTCATATCATCCGCGAACTTACTAATCCACCCTTCCACTCCTTCATCCAAATCATTTACAAAAATCACAAATAGGAGAGGACCCAGAACAGATCGTTGTGGTACACCACTCGTAACTGAGCACCATGTTGAATATTTTCCGTCCACTACCACTCTTTGTCTTCTAAGGGTCAGCCAATTCTGAATACAATCTGCCACATTTCCCCCTATCCCATGCCTCCTTACCTTCTACATGAGCCTACTATGGGGAACCTTATCAAACACCTTACTTAAGTCCATGTATACCACATCCACTGCTCCAGCTTCATCCACGTGTTTGGTCACCTCTTCAAAGAATTCAATAAAGTTTGTGAGGCATGATCTACCCCTCACAAATCCATGCTGATTATCATGAATCAAACTGTGCCTTTCCAAGTGATCATAAATCCTATCTCTCAGAGCCCTTTCCAATAATTTGCCCACCACTGACGTAAGACTAACTGGCCTGTAATTTCCAGGGTTATCCCTATTCCCTTTTTTGAACAAGGGAATGCAGTTTGCCTCTCTCCAATCTTCCGACACTACACCCGTGGACAGTGAGGATGAAAAGATCATTGTCAAAGGTCTCGCGATCTCTTCCCTCGCTTCCCATAGAATCCTTGGATAAATCCCATCAGGCCCAGGGGACTTATCTATCTTCAACTTCCTCAAAATTCCTAGCACATCTTCCTTACTAGCATCCACCTCCCCTAGCCTACCAGCCTGTTTCACACTGTCCTCCCCTACAACTAGGTCCCACTCAGTTGTGAATACAGAAGAAAAGTATTCATTAAGGACCTCTCCTATTTCTTTAGGCTCTGTGCACAAATTCCCTTTACAATCCTTGATCGGCCCTACCCTTTCTCTAGTCATTTTCTTTTTCCTCATGTAAGTGTAAAAAGCCTTGGGGTTTTCCTTGATCCTACATGCCAAGGTTTTGTCATGCCCCATTATAGCTCTCCTAAGCCCTTTCTTCAGCTCCTTCCTGACTAACCTGTATGCCTCTAGAGCCTTTTCCGATCCTTGTTTCCTAAACCTTATGTAAGCATTCTTCTTCCTCTTAACCAGTTGCTCGACCTCTCTTGAGAACCAAGGCTCCCTCACTCGACCGCATCTTCCCTGCCTGCTAGGGACAAAAATATCGAGCACACGCAATATGCATTCCTTAAACAATCTCCACATTTCTATAGTGCTCTTGCCTGACAGCATCTGTTCCCATTTTATGTTACCCAGTTCTTGCCTAACAGAATTATAATTACCCTTCCCCCAGTTATAAACCTTACCCTGCTGTATGTACCTATCCTTTTCCATGACTATTGTCTATGACTATTCATCCCATGAATGAATAAAAAAAATCTCTGGGCCTGTACTCCTGAACTATCTTTCTATACTTGTCACTATTTTCTACTGCTCCAAATCATCTACAAACTTTTAAATTACACCTTTTATGGTAAGTCAGTCACTAGTATGTAGCAAAACACTCAGTTGACCCAATACCAATTGTCTGGGGGACAACAGTGTATACAGCCATAGGTGCTTTTTCTACTGTCTTTGGCATATCCCATATCCATGCTGCCACTGGTCCTTTAATTCCATGAGTTTTAATTCTGCTAACAAATTTGTTTTTTTCCTCAAATGGATGTCTAAAAATAAATAAAGCTAACAAATACCCACAAACCCTCTTCATTACTTCAAAGAACTGTCAAATTTGTGAAATATGATTTCTCTTTTAACAAATCTGTGCTGGCTATCATCAAATACTAATGGGTTTCCAACTGAGAATTCATTTTGTCCTGAACTATTTCCGAAGTTCCCAACAACCAACATTAGGCTGTCTGACCAGCAGTGGTAAGTTTAATTCCTTTATTTCCCACATGCAAAAGAAACTGGAAAATTGTGGCCAGAGTCTCCGTTATCATAGACTTTACTTCCCACTTTACAGACTTTACATGCCACGACTGGAGGGGCAGCATGGTGGCTCAGTGGCTAGCACTGCTGCCTCACAGTGCCAGGGACCCGAGTTCAATTCCAGCCTCAGGTGACTGTCTGGAGTTTCCACGATCTCCCTGTGATGGCATAGGTTTCCTCCCACAGTCACAAAGATGTGCCGATTAGGTGGACTGGCTATGCTAAATTGCCTACAGTGTCTAAGGTGGGAAATGCAGGGATAGGTCTGGTTGGGATGCTCTTAGGAAGGTTAGTGTGGACTCGATGGGCTGAATGGCCTGCTCCCACACTGTAGGGATTCTACAATTCTACGATTCTTTCAGTAACCTGGGGTGTATCTTATCCATACCAGATACTTCTACCTTGAGCAAGGTTAGCATACAAGGCATTAGGTGCAGTTCAGACCCATTTGGTTTGTAGCAGAAAGAAACACACCCATAGAAGTTTGCAGATCAAGAACTGCATGGAGGACAGGAAATGTCTATTTTTGTAGAGGTTCACTGTACTTTGGAATGAGCAATCAATCTTTCTTAAAGGAACTTGGCCTCAGAAAAGCTACAAGTTTATTCAGACTGTGGTCTCCTGGAGCTTGTCTAATGGCCTTAGATAATCAGTAATTTGTTTCCCTACTTGACTCATGCACATTTCATCTCCGTTGTTTAGGGGATCAGTGAATAACAATGGTTAATCCACTAGCTGAATGGGAAAGGCATTCATCATCTTTTTATATTGTGTACTCATTCCCTAAAACTGCTCTTCTGATCATTTATATGAATCCCACCTCAGCTAATAGGTTTCACTTTTGACTGCGAGAATTAATTTGGTGCTTATAGTTTACACCACAGCACCCTCGTCCCTTGAAGGCATCACCTACATAACTAGGAAGATAGCTGGACTGAATGAGCCTTCCATTACACTGTTATTCTTCATTTAACGATGTCACGTATCCAATTCTAATCAAATAATTAATTAAATTGCTTTCCAAATTACTTTCCAAATTACAGTCTGAGTGGAAATGTATTCTTGTCATAAGTTCTAAATTCAAAATTTGAGAGTGTCAGTCAAAAACATGAAGCCTCAATTGACACAAGAATATCTGTGATGAAGCTCCTTACCAGTAATCTTCCCAAGAGACTTAGCAACAATTCTGCTGCTGGCCACTCTGGTTTGTTAACTGTGGAAAGGAGATCTTGAACGAAGTTCTCAAAGAGTGGTCTGTAGTCTTCTTCTCCTTGCTTACTTCCACACCTAAAGAAGAGAAAGATTCATTACCGATCACACACCCAAAATCTGAGCACAAACTTCAGGAGTCACAGTCTAAGGATACAGGGTAAACCATTTAGGACCAAGATGAACAGAAATTTCTTCATCCAGGGAGTGGTCAACCTGTGGAATTCATTACCACAGAAATGAGTTCAGGCCAAAACATTGCATAATTTCGAGGAGGAGTTGGATATAGCACTTGGGGCTAAAGGGATCAAAGGATTTGGGGGAAAAGCGGGAAGAGACTATTGAGTTGGATGATCAACCACAATCACAATGAATGGCACAGCAGGCTTGAAGAGCCGAATGTTACTCATTCCTGTTTTCAATGTTTCTATCCGGCCATACCTTTAGACTTGTTCAATTAACTGTTGGCATTTACAGGATTTTGTGCATAAATCTGCTTTACAGGTTTGCTTGTCTATGGTTGAAAAATAGCTTGTCATAAAGTAGGAGACGATTACAGCATGGAAACAGGCCCTTCAGCCCAACCCGTCCATGCCGCCCAGTTTTCATAATTAATCTAGTCCCACTTGTCTGCAATTAGTCCAACCCCCTCCATACTTTCCCATTCATGTACTGTCCAAATGTTTCACCTTCACTGCTTCCTCCGGCAGCCTGCTCCAGATACTCTCCATCCTCTGAAAATACTGCCCCACTGGACCCTTTTGTATCTCTTCCCTCTCACCTTAAACCTATGCCCTCTAGTTTTATACTCACCTACCATGGGGAAAAGCTGTCAGCTGTCAGCTATCTACCTTATTTATGCCTCTCATGATTTTATGGAACTCTTATAAAAGGTCACCCCCTCAGTCCCCCATACTCCAAGGAGAAAAAGCTCGCAGCCTATCCAGCCTCTCCTTATAACTCAAATCTTCCAGTCTAAGTAGCATCCTAGCAAATCCTATCTGCACTCTTTTTAGCTTAATAGTATCCTTTCTATTGAAGCTCAACAGAACTGCACACAGTACTCCAAATGTTGCCTTCTAAGCCTTGTAACAGCTGCAACAAGACGTCCCAACTCCTAAACTCAATACTCTGACCAATGAAAGCAAGCGTTCTGAAAGCCTTCTTCACTACCCTGTCGACCTGTGACTTCACGTTCAAGGAATTATAAACTTGTACCCCTTGATCTCTTTGTTGTATAATGCTCTCCACTGCCCTACCATTGACCGTGTAGGTCCTGCCCTAGTCTGACCTTGTGAAGTGCTTTGTGACGTCTCAAGGATGTGATGTGGCCATATATCAATGTGGGTTGATTAATAAAAGTGCAGTAAGATATCTATGACACAGGGGTATGTGATTCTTCCTTTTGACTTTTTTGTGGATTAAAATGAGAAAAAAACTGTTTTAAAACAAAGGATTAATGGACAATTGCTGCATGTTTTGAAAGCAAGTAAGTGACCCTCATTTTAAGCACTGTTTACACAGCTGCTGGTTTCAGCAGTGTTGAAATGCATTTGAGAGACCAGTTGGGACCAAAAGGTGTATACAAATAGGTATTTAGTTGGCGACAAGTAGGGGATTGCTCTGTAGACTAGTGGCAAAGGTCTTCTGCCTGCCAACTGTGAGATTGGTTCAAGTGACTAAACAGCTTGGGGCTGTAAACAAGATACCATAAGACTATAGGAAACAGGTCAGAAATCACACAATAGCAGGTTACAGTCCAACAGGTTTATTTCAAAACTTTCGGCGCCTCAATCTTTCTCAGGTGTTAGTGTGAGGTATTATCAGACATAGAATTTGTAAGTAAAGGATCAAAGGTTCACACCATTGATGAGGATGTACTAAACAAACCTAACAAATCTTTAATCAGTTCTCATGGTAGAACAGTCACTGAAGGTCAGCATGCAGGTGCAGCAGGCCATGAGGAAAGCTAATGGCATGCTGGCCTTCATAGCAAGAGGATTTGAGTATCGGAGTAAGGGTGTCTTGCTGCAGTTATGGGTGAGGCCACACCTTGAGTAGCATGTGCAGTTAAGATCGCGCTGCATTCCCAGATAACCTTCTTCACTGTCCATATATCACCAATCTTGGTGTCATCTGCCAATATACTAATCATATTTCCTAAATTCTCATCCAAATCATTTATATATGAATAACACAAATAACAGTGGACCCTTCACCAATCCCTTTGACACACGCTGGCCACAGGCCTCCAGTTTGAAAAACAATCCTCTACCGCCATCCTCTGTCTTCTATCGTCAAGCCAATTTTGTAACAAATCGGCCAGCTCTCCCTGGATCCGAAGAGATTTAACCTTACTTAACAACCTTCTGTGTGGTAACTGGTCGATGGTCTTGTTAAATTCTATGTCCATTGCACCACCTTCATCTAATTTCTTGGTTACCCCTTCCAAAAACTGAAATTCGTGAGACACTATTTCCCATGCACAAAGCTATGCTGACTATCCCAAATGAGACCTTGCCTCTCCAAATGCCTGTAGATCCTGTTTCTCAGAATCCTCTTTAATACTTTACATAACATGGACATTAGGCTCACCAGTTTGTAGTTCCCAGGCATTTCACTGCAGACTTTCTTATATAATGGCACAACATTAGCCACCCTCCTATCTTCGGGCACTTCACCCGTAGCTGTTGATGATATAAATATCTCTGCTACGGGACCGGAAGTTTCCTCCCTGGCCTCCCACAAAGTCCTGGGATACACTTAATCAGGTCTTGGGATCTACCTTATGACTTCTAGCACCCCCTCTTCTGTAATGTGGACACTCTTCAAGACATCACTATTTATTTTCCCCAAGTTCCATTGAATCCATACCTTTCTCAATGGTAAATACTGACGAGAAACATTCATTTAGGATCTCACCCATCTCAAGGTACCGCACATAGATGACCTTCTTGATCTTTAAGAGGGCCTATTTGCTCCCTAGCCTCTCATGTGCTTTATTTTTCCTATTCATTTGTGGGACATGGGCGTCGCTGGCTAGCTAGCATTTCTTGCCCATCCCTAGTTGCCCTTGAGAAGGTGGTGGTGAGCTGCCTTCTTGAACCACTGCAGTCCACTGCTGTAGGTTGACCCACAACGCCATTAGGGAGGGAATTCCAAGATTTTGACAGTGAAAGAATGGCAATATATTTCCAAGTCAGGATGGTGAGTGGCTCGGAGGGGATCTTGGAGATGGTGGTGTTCCCGTATGTCTCCTGCCCTTGTTTTTCTAGATGGAAGTGTTCGTGGGTTTGGAAGGTGCTGTCTGAGGATCTTTGGTGAATTTCTGCAGTGCACCTTGTAGATAGTACACACTGCTGCTATTGAGCGGCGGTGTTGGAGGGAGTGGATGTGGTGCCAATCAAGCCGGCTGCTTTGTCCTGGATGTGTCAAGCTTCTTGAATGTTGTTGGATCTGCACTCATCCAGGCAAGTGGGGAGTATTCCGTCACATCTACTTGTAGAATCTCTTTGGATTCTACTTTACCTTTTCTGCCAAAGCCATCTCATGTCCCCTTTTGATTTCTCTCAAGTGTAATCAGACACCCTCTATATTCAATTCACTTGATCCCAGCTGTCTATACATGTCATATGCTTCTTCCTTTTTCAGTACCAGTGCCTCAATAACTCTAGTCATCCAGGGTTCCTTACTCCTGCCAGCACTACCCCTCATTCTAATAGGGGCATGCTAGCCCCAAGTCCTCTAATTTCACTTTTGAAAGCCTCCCACTTACCAGATGTCACATTGCCTGCAAACAGCCTCACCTGTCAATCAACTTTTGAACGTTCCTTTCTGAGACTATCAAAATTACCCTCCCCCACTAAATAACTTGCAGACTGGACCTAATGTTTTCCATAGCTATTCTAGAACTAATGAATTATGAACTCTGGTCCCAAAGTGTTCTCCTACTAACACTTCTGTCACTTGCCCTGCCTTACTTCCTAAAGGGAGGTCAAGTTTTGCCCCATCTCTAGTAGAACCATCCATATGCTGCATGAGAAATTCTTCCTGAACACACTTAAATTTCTCTCCATCCAAGCCCCTGACACTATGGCAGTCCCAGTTGATATTAGGCAACTTAAAGTCCCCTACTATTACAACCCTATTATTCTTGTAGCTGTGATCTCCCATATTTGTTCCTCAATCTCCTGCAGGCAGGCCTATAGTACAATGCTTTCAAAGTAATCTCCCCATTTTTATTTCTCAGTTCTATCGATATAAACTCAGTGACTAGGCTCTCGAGAATGTCTTCTCCCAGAACATCAAAATTAGACAGGAACTGGGGATTGTGGATTGGGAGCAGTTACTTGAGGGCAAATCTACATGTGGCATATGAGAGGCTTTTAAAGACCAGTTGATTAAAATGCAGGACTTGCAAGTCCCTGCAAAACTGAAGGACAGGAATGGCAGGATTCAGGGAAATTGTAAGCTTAATCAAAAGGGAAAAGGAAGCATACAATAGGTCTAGGCAGCTCCAAATGACGAAGCCCTTGAGGAATACAGAGAAATTAGAAAGGAACTTAAACGCAGAATTAGGAAGGCTAAAAGGGGCCATGAAATGTACTTAGCAAACAGGGTCAATGAGAATCCCAAGGTTTTTTTATGCATATATTACAAGAAAAAGGATAGCAAGGGAAAGAGTAGTCCTACTCAAGGACAAAGGAGGGAAGTTACATGTGGAGCCACAGGAAGTGGAAGAGATCCTGAATGAGTACTTTGTCAGTATTCACCAAGGAGAAGGGCAGGACTTATGTTGAGGTCAGGGATGAGTGTGTGAATACTCTAGAGAATGTCAATAAGTTTTGGGTATCAAAGGAAGCAGGGTTAATCCAGGAAATTACAGGCCGGTGAGCCTGACGTCTGTGGTGGGAAAGCTCTTGGAGAAGATACTGAGGGACAAGATATATGCACATTTGGAATAAAATGGACTAGTTAGTGACAGGCAGCATGGTTTTGTACCGGGACAGTCATGTCTCACCAACCTGACTGAATTTTTTTGAAGAGGTGATAAAGATAATTGATGAAGGAAGGGCTGTGAATGTAGTTTATATGGACTTCAGTAAGGCATTTGATAAAGTCCCACATAGCGGATTGGTACAACAACTAAAATCACACGGGATTCAGGGTGGGCTGGCAAGATGGATGCAAAACTGGCTTGGTCATAGAAGACAGAGGGTAGTGGCAGAAGGGTGTTATTCAGAATGGAGACCAGTAACTAGTGGTGCTCCATAGGGATCAGTCTTAGGTTTTCTGTTGTTTGTGGTATATATAAATGATCTGGAAGAAAATGTGGGTGGTCTGATTAATAAGCTTGCAGATGACACGAAGATTTGTGGAGTTGCTGATTCTGCCAATGATTGTGAAAGGATACAACTGGATATAGAGAGATTGGTCACTTGGGCACAGAAGTGGTAGATGGTGTTTAATCCAGACAAATTTAGGTGTGAATTATACTGTTAGTGGCAGAACCCTTAGGAACATTAACATACAGAGGACCTGGGCGTGCAGGTCCATAGTTCCCTAAAAATGGCAACATAGATGGCCATGGTGAGTAAGAAGGCATAATGGCATACTTGCCTTCATCGGCCGGGGCATGGAGTACAAGCGTTGGCAAAACATGCTGCAACTATATAAAACCTCGATAGGCCGCATTTGGAGTACTGTGTGCAATTTTGGTCGTCACACTACCAGAAGGACATGGAAGCTTTGGAGAGAGTGCAGAGAAGGTTCACCAGGATGTTGCCCAATCTCAAGGGCATTGGCTACGAGAAAAGGTTAAAAAGACTAGGACTGTTTTCACTGGAAAGCCGGCAGCTCAAAGGAGACCTGATAGAGGTCTAAAAAATTATGCGAGGCAAAGATAGAGTGGATAGTCAGAGGCTTTTTCCCCAGAGTTGAAGTTTCAATTACAAGGGGGCACAGATTCCAGGTGAGGGGGAAAACGTTGGAGGGAGATGTGCGAGCAAAGTTTTTAACGCAGAGAGTGGAGGGAGCCTGGAATGCACTGCCAGAAGAGATTCATGGAAGCAGGCATGTTGGCGACATTTAAGAAGCATCTGAATTGTTACACGAATAAGGAAGGAATAGAGGAATACGGCCCAAATAAAGGCGGAAATTTTTTTTTAATAGTTTAGTTACAGCACAGTGATCAGCACAGACTTGGAGGGCTGAAGGGCCTCTTCCTGTGCTGTACTTCTCTTTTGAACTGCTGTGATGTTCTCCCGAATCAAAAGCACAACTCCCCCTCCTCTCTTGCCTCCCCTTTCCTTCCTACAAGATCTGTACCTCGGAACATTGAGCTGCAGTCCTGTCCCTCCCTCAGCCATGTTTCTTGTAATAGCTATAACATCCCAGTTCCACGTACCCATCCATGCCCCAAGTTCATTTGCCTTACCTGTCAGGCCTCTTGCATTGAAATACATGCAGTTAAACCCAGATTTCCACGTGTTCCCTGCTGGGCTCTTGCCTGCCCTGTCTAGTACTGGGATTACCAACACTTACTATTTAATTTGCCTCATTAACCTCTGTACTATCCTCAAACTTCTCTTTTGTCTCCCTACTGCTTTGGATCCCACACCCCTGCCAGACGAGTTTAAACCCTCCCAAGTAGCTCTAGGAATGCTCCCCTATATTTGTAAATATTGTCCCACACTGAGCAGGCCCAGTGATCGTATTTATAAACATTCTCCCATACTGAGCTGGCCCAGTGACTATGCTTGCAAACACACACACAATGATGTGGCCCAGTGACTATGTTTACCAAATGCACGCACACTGAGCTGGCCCAAAGACTGTATTTACAAGTATTCCCACATACAGCTGGCCCAGCAACCTCTTTATTCTTTAGTGGCGTGCGGCTGCAGTTGGTAAGGACAGCATGTATTGCACATATCTAACCATCCTTGAGTGAATTGCTAGACCACTTCAGAGGGCAGTTAAGAGTCAACCAGTAATTGTTCCCTTCTTAATAGGCAGGAGTGGCAGATTTCCTTTCCTAAAGGTTATTAGTGAACCAGATGGAATTTACAACAGTATTGTATTTTCATGGTTTCCATTACTGAGGCTTAATTTTGAATTTCTGATATATTAATTGAATCTTACTCCCATCTCCACAAAGCATTAGTCTTGGCCTTTGGATTACTGATTCAATGACATTACCATTATGCCAATGTCTCCCCAAATTTGCAAACATTACCGAACAACTGGTCCAGGGCCTGTATTGTAAACAGTTCCGAGCAGAGCTTGCATTTAATCCATACATGTGCATATCTAGGCATTAACACTCTCGTGCAGTAGTACAGAGACAGGATCATCCTTGGAAGTCCCAACAATTCTCTGTTCAGCCACCGAGTACACTTGCATGAGGTAGATATTTTTGCACTGGAATAACTTAAATATCCAGAATGATATGCAATCTATAGCCAGGGGATTGAGCCACAGTAGCCATCTTTAAAATGGTTTGATCCTCTTGTCGGGCAGCATCCAGACATGGCAAAAATTGTGCACATACTCGCCATCTTAATATGAATAAGATGTTTCTAGGATGGGGACAAAGACAAGATAGAAGCAGTAAGGATAGGAGTAGAGGAATTCGGTATCTGCTGTCTCAGAGACTCAGACACTGAAACCAGAACCTTGTGAGGCAACTGTGAAGCAATGAGACACAACAAAACTTCCACTGCTTCAAAATTAAGACACTCACCACAGGGACTCATTTTCATGTTTACAATTAGATCCTTTGCACTCACTTTTTGAGGAAGACTGATAGAAAGTTCTGGGCCGTTCTCATTGCTGTTTCATATGAGTTGGTAATTAAGACATCTTGATCAACCTGAAAGATGAAACACGGAAAACTAATAGACATCTCAATTTGGAACAAAAGAGATGAGGGCCATCCATACACCTTTACAATAAGATACCAAACAAGATCTAATTCCTGGGGTGATATTAGAAGAGTATCTGAATGAACTGCCTACATAGCTGCTACTGCATTAGCAATGCATCTTCTATAAAGGGAAGATATGTTAACAAATAATTTGTGTTGCAAGTACTCCATCTGCACAACAAGACAGTCAATAACCCTATCTCAAAATTTTAATTGTAGCTATTCCCAACAATCCATAATTTCAGCATTAATGAGCTATTACCATCTTATTTTAAGAATGGTTCAGCGACAAGAAAGTTATGTGGATTGAGTTGAGAAATTGGTTTGTTTTGCTTTGATGTGGAGGTGGATGTGGAGGTAGAGATGCCGGTGCCAGATTGGGGTGGACAAAGTCAGAAATCACACGACACCAGGTTATAGTCTAACAGGTTTATCTGAAATTACAAGTTTTTGGAGCGCTGCTCCTTCGTCAGGTGAAGTGAAGAAGAAGCAGCGCTCCAAAAGTTTGTGTATTCAAATAAACCTATTGGACTATAACCAGGTGTTATGTGACTTCTAACTTTGGTTTGCTTTGAAAGGGGAAGACTGGGGGGAGATTTGATAGCAGGCTTCAAAATCATGAGAGATCTGGACAGAACGGATAGGGAGAAAACGTTCCTTCTCGTAAAAAGATATAGAATGAATCGGCATGGTTTTAAAGTGTTTTGAAAAAGCAAATGCAAGTGAGAAGAAATATTTTCACATAGTGAATGCATTCTAAAATTCCTAAATAACTAAAAGGGCAAAAATGGGGTGGGGAAGAGGAAATAAATATAATGGCTATCACTGGAGAAAAAGTACTAGGGGAACTGATGAGGCTAAAGGCCAATAAGGGGCAGCACGGCGGCTCAGTGGTTAGCACTGCTGCCTCACAGCACCAGGGACCTGGGTTCAATTCCACCCTCAGGCGACTGTCTGTGTGGAGTTTGCACATTCTCCCCGTGTCTGCGTGGGTTTCCTCCGGGTTCTCCGGTTTCCTCCCACAGTCCCAAAAAGATGTGCAGGCTAGGTGAATTGGCCACGCTAAATTGCCCGTAGTGTTCAGGGATGAGTAGATTAGGTGGGTTTATAAGGGAATGGGTCTGGGTGGGATGCTCTGTGGATCGGTGTGGACTTGTTGGGCCGAAGGGCCTGTTTCCACACTGTAGGGATTCTATGATTCTATGAAGTTCACTGGAACTGATGGATTACAACATTGGACAGTAAAAGTAGTAGCTAGTGGAAGTACTGGTAGTAATCTTCCAAAAATGATTACTTTCTAGAAAGATATCACAGGATTAGAAGACCACCTGCATAAAACCTTTATTCAAAAGGGGAAGGAGACAAAAACAGGCAGATATAGGCCAGTTATATTAATGCCTGCTATTGGAAACCTATTTGAGTCTATTATAAAGGATGGAATAGCACAGCATTTAGAAATATATAATATGATCAGTCAGTCAGCATGGCTTCATGAAGGGGAAATCATGTCTGACAAATTTGTTACAATTCCTTAAAAAGGTTACAAGCAGCATAGATAAAGGGAAAATGGTGGTTGTAATATATCTGATTTTCAAAAACCTCTCAATTAGGTACAAAAAATTGGAGAAAAACTTGGTACATGAAAGGTAATGTGGAAAACGCAAGATTATGCATTCTGGCAGGAACAGTAGAGGAGCCAAATATTATTTAAATGGAGAAAGGCTGCAGCACAAAGCAATTTGGGAGTCCTCATGTATAAATCACAAAAAGCAGAAGGCGGCCACTCAGCCTGTCGAGTCTGCTCCATGAATGGGATCATGGCTGATTTTATCATCATCCTCAACTCCACTTTCCTGCCTTTGCGCTATAACCCTCGATTCCCTTCCTGATTAAAAAAAGTTTGTCTCAGCTCTGAATATACATAATGACCCAGTCTCAATAGCCCTCTAAAGAATTCCTCAGACTCACTCCCCTCTGAGAGGAGAAATTCCTCCTCACCTGTCTTAAATGTGTGACCCCTTATTCTGAGATGATGCCCTAGGCTCTCCCACAGGGGGAAATAAACTTTCCACATAAACCTTGTGAAGTGTCCAAAAAATCTTGTATGTTTCAATAAGGTTGCCTCGCATTCTTCTGAACTCTAATGAGTACAGGCCCAACCTCTTCAACCTTTCCTGATAAGATAGTCCCTCTGTATTTGGGATCAGCCAAATGAACCTTCTCTGGACTGCCTCCAAATGCCAGTCTATCTTTCCTTAGATAAGGGACCCAAAACTACTCACAGTATTCTAGCTGTGGCTTGACTAGTGCCTTGTATAGTTTTAGCGACACTTCCCTGCTTTTATTCTCCATTCCTTTTGAAATAAATGCCAGTCCATTTGCCTTCTGGTGAATTTAAGACAGGATTGTGCAGGTTGACCTCAGGTTGTGGATGGTGGAATGTGGACATGAGTCCAAGTGCTGGCAAGGGGACACGGGTGAATGAAGGCTGCAGCAACTGGTCAGCTTAGCTGGGGAGAGGCTAGTTGATGGCTCGGAATAGAGAATTTTGGAGATTGCACGAATGTGAGGCTGGAAGTTCATGGCACCAGTGTAGCAAGCTGATTGACTTCATCCCTGAGCATTGTCAGGGAGATGGACAGAGTTGGTAAAACCACGAGGAAAACAACGGCTTCAGTCTTCATGCTATTTAACTGGAGGGCCATTCCTGCGGATTCAGTACAGGATGTGGGAGAAATAAGAGGAGAGATGGTGGGGTGCTTGATCTGGCAGCTGTCAGTATTCAAGCACATTGTGGGCTGATGCTGCCAAGGGGCTGGGTCTAAATGAGAAACAGGAGACGGGGTCAAGGATAGATCCTGGGGTCATCCAAGGGACCATGGCTAGTCTGATTATGACTACGTGGATAAGAACATTCTAGAAGTGAATAAGAGGAGATGTGGTGCAGTTGGGTTAAGGGGATGTGGGTGGGAACGTGGGAAATAGAAACATAGGAGCAGGAGTAGGTCATTCAGCCCCTTGAGCCTGCTCCACCATTCAATATGACCATGGCTGGTCATCCAACTCAGTAACCTGTTCCTGCTTTCTCCCCATACCCTTTGATCCCTTTAGCCTAAAGAACTACATCTAACTCCTTCTTGAAAGAATTCAATGTTTTGGCCTCAACTGCTTTCTGTGGTAGAGAATTCCACAGGGTCCTCACTCTCTGGATGAAGGCATTTCTCCTCAGCTTAGTTCTAAAAATCCTAAAAAGTGCTAAACCCCATATCCTTCGACCGTGACCCCCTGGGGTTCTGGACTTCCATCATTAGAAACATCCTTCCAGTGTTTACCCTGTCTAGTCCTGTTAGAATTTTATAATTTTCGATGACATTCCCCTCATTTTTCTAAAGTGCAATGAACTTAGTCCTAACCCATCCAGGCTCTCTTCAAAAGTCAGTCCTGCCATCCCAGGAATCAGTTTTGTAAACCTCCATTACATTCCTCCATAGCCAAAACATCCTTCTTCAGAACTGCACACAGTATTCCAGGTGTGGTCTCACCAAGGCCCTGTACAATTGCAGCAAGACATCCCTGCTCCTATACTCGAATCCTCTAACCATGAAGGCCAACATCCCATTCGCCTCCTTCACTGCCTGCTGCGCCTGCATGCTTACTCTCAGTGACTGGTGCACAAGGACACCTAGGTCTCAGTGCACCTCCCCCTCTCCCAATCTATCAACATTTAGATAATAATCTGCCTCCTGTTTTTGCGACCAAAGTTGGCAACTTCACATTTATCCACACTTTCCTGCATCTACCATGCATTTGCTCACTCACCCAACTTGTCAAAATCACATAATGCTATAAAGGGGCACCCACATCCCATCCACACTTGTTTGAACATTAGTCCCAATTTGGCTTAAGTGTAACTCATCCTGGCCAGTAAAGAAAGGCCCACCTCCTACAAAGCTTCCACCAAGATCCCAGGAATCGTAAGCCCTCCATTTTAAGCACCATTCATGCGTCCATCTACTCAATCTGTCTATTTCTATACTCACTAGAGTGTACAAGTGATTATATTCTTTGGGGTAGTCTCTTTGCTGCCTTCCTAAAATCCACTTGCAGGACTTCATTCTTTGTGTTCTTAGTATAACTATGGCCTTTTAGCTATTCTCTAACACTTTGACTGCCTCCCAGACAAATAATCACTCAAAGGTAATCCAGTCTGTGGATTGCCTACCTTCTTGTCTCCATCGTCATCAACAGTGTTGGAATCTTTCTCTGTGGTTGGAAGATGTACAACACATTGAATCAGCTGCAAAACTAAGGCAGTCACCATCTGAATAAAGAGTGGCTCTCCATCCATGTCGCTGCTGTTTAACCTGTTAAATAAATACCAATAGATATCAAAGCCCATGTAACTGGCTTTGTCAATACACAAGATTCTGCTCCCTCAGTTAAAACTACAAACACAAATTCTGGGGCAATTAGTTGTATTTTTCTGTATCATTGTGGATTACACAATAAAGTCAATTTCCAGAGGTCGAATGATAAAGATCTTACATGAAATGAGTGAGACATTTCTATCAGCTCAACCACAAACCTGCTCTGAATAAAGATTAAATAGATATTGTAAAGTACAGGTCACAAGATGACTAGTTTACGAAGAGAAGGAAATCTGAGACACAGCTGTTACGCAAAAAAAGAGTGAATGGTGTTACCTGAAATTTCTTAGACTCCTCTTACTTGTTGGGAGTTTTGCAAGTGAGGCAAACATCTCTTCCAATATCAACTGTCTGTGCTTTTCATACCTTGAGAACACCTGTCAAATGTTTCAAAAAAAAAAGTCTTCAGCCAACTTGACAAATTTTATTATTGAAGTATTAGAACCACTTATAACACTGAATGGAAAGAAAGCCTATCAGGCTGCTTCAGATTTTGTTGTTGGGCAGCTCTCTCAACACCACGGGAGAATCAGGTGCATATTCACACTAGCTAAATATTCACAGTAAACACCTTTAGTGGAGAGTTTATTTCAGATTGAACATAAAAAAACTTCTTTATGAAGCTCCTTTCATACCTAATAGGCATCTCCAAACACTTCACAGTCATTAAGTACTTTTATAGCGTACACCATTACAAAGTAGGAAATCCGGCAAATCTCCAACAAAGAAAAATATAATAACCTTGCTTGAAAGATAAATATTGACCAGGATAACTCTGCTGCTCTTCTTCAAAAAAGTGCTTGAGCAATTTTTAGGTCTGAGGGGATTGATGTGACCTCAAAGATTTTCAACGGTACAGCACTAGATTGCCTTGGGTTAATGCTCAAGTCTCTCAGTGGCACTTAAATGAGGAGTCTATTGTCTCAGAGCAAGCATATAACCAATTAAAACTTGGCTGAACGGAATTACTGAAAATTGCAGCAGATTCATTCAAACTGTAGCTGTACTATACACGGTGATTGAATATTTCCAATAACTGAACTTACAGCCGTCACCAACTTGATGCCGCACAGCTGCAATTCACTAACATTTTCCACAAAGAAAGGTGTAATTCCCATGGATGAAACCTAACCATCAAAAAAAGATAATCAATATATCATTACAGGAAGACAGACAACACAGAAAAAAGAGTATACATGGCTCAAGAACTTCGGCAATTTTTGCATATATATTCAAATTACTTCACTTTGGTCAGCTCCTAAACATAGTAAATACTATGCTTTAGGAATGAGCAAAAAAACACTGAAAGGAAAAGATACACCATAATAACAAAGATGTTCTTTGACCTAAGTTGTCAGGGTGGGTGGGAACCAGCATATAAATGCAGAAAACAGGAATAAGGTACATAAGATAAACATGTTCACAATGGTAAAGAAAAGGGGCAGTACAATTTTACATAAGAATCGAAAAATAGTAACAAACACGTGAACTGGTTAAGAATGCATGTATGCAAAAATGCAATGATTAAACAGTTGGGCTACCAGCAGAACTACTATTTGAGAATATGGATGTTCTGGTAATAATGGAAACATCGTTTATATATGGTGGGTACTGGGAAGTTCATAACAAGGGACACAATGTGCTCAAAAATAGGGAGGGAGAGGGAGCAAGACAGGGAAGGATTGGGGAGACAATACTCATTAGGAAAGACACTGCCGTATTGGAAAAGACAAGATGCCCTTGAAGGGTCAAAGACAGAATATATCTGGTTATGACTTGAGACACAAAAAAGTTACATCACGCTGCTGGAGGCCTGTGCTCCCTCTAATTTTTCCTGTCACTGTCTGGACCTTCAAAGTCCGTGCACGTCAGTGGTCTCCAGAAGCAGATATCAATTTGTCCACACGGCAACTACAGTGTACGGCCCCTCAAGCAGCTGCATGGTTGTATACAATAGGCGGAACATTGTTGGGGGTTTATTTGGTAGACTTCCAAATAGTGAAATAAAATGGAGGAACAAATGTGCAGGGAAATCAAAGGTGAATATAGATTCTAAAGTTGTGATACGGGGGCCTTGAACTACTCAAATATTGATTAAGATAATGCTAAAATAAAGGGTAGGGAAGGGAAGGAATTCTGAAATGTAGGAGGAGGAGAATTTCTTTCACAGTTCAGAAGGAGACATTGCTGGTTGTGGGACTGGGGAATGAGCTGGGACAAGTGGATGAAGTGTCAGGAGGGGAGCATTTGGGTGAGAATGTTCATTGTGTTATAATGTTGAGATGGAGAAAGACAAGGAATCTGACTATTCAATATGAACACAATCATATTAAATGGTGCAGTAAACTCGAAGGGTCAAATGGGCTACTCCTGATCCTACTTTCTATGTTGCTCAAGTCATTTTCACAACATAATTCCTTACCTATTTTTGTATCATCTGTAAATTCAGCCACCATAACTTCAGCCCAGAGCCCTGTAGGACCCCATTTTCACATGCTGCCAATCTGAAGCAGATCTATATATGCATGCTGTTTCTGGCCTGCTTGGTTCACAATTTAAAGTTCTAAACTGGGGCAAAACAATTTTGATTGTATTAAGGAAGAACTTTCAAAGGTTGACTGGGGGAAGCCGTTCACAGGTAAACTGACGTCTGACAAGTAGGAGGCTTTCAAAGGTAAGCTAACGAGAGGGCCAGTATGTTGCTCTTAGTATGAAGGGCAAGGCTGGCTGCAGTAGGGAACACTGGATGACTAGAACTATTGAGGGTCTGGTCAAGAAAAAGGAGGAGGTATTTGTCAGTGAGAGGTTGTCCATTTTGGCCAGATAAATAAAAGGGCAAATTATTCTCTAAATGTGAAACAGATTCGAAATGTGTCAGGGCAGAGGAATCCGGGTGTGAATCACAGAAAGTGGGTATGAGGTGTAGCATATATAAGAAAGATGTGGGGTGACCTTTGACGTTTATAAAATCATGAGGGGCATTGATAAGTGAACAGCAAAGGGTCTTTTCCCTAGGGTGGGGTAGCTCAAAGCTGGGGGAGTGTTTTTAAGAGGAGAGGAGAAAGTTTTAAAAAGGTCATGAGGGGCAACTATTTTTTAAAAACATATAAAGTAGTTCGTGTGTGGAATGAACTGCCAGAGGAAATGGTGGATGCAAGTACAGTTACAACATTTAAAAGACATCTGGATAAGTACATGAATTGGAAAGGTTTGGAGGGACATGTGCTAAATACAGGCAAGTGGGACTAATTCAGTTTGGGAACATGGTCAGTGTGGACTAGTTGTACTGAAGGATCTGTGTCCACACTATTTGACTATATGAATCCTGGCTTTTATTGTAAAAGGACTGGATTACAAAAGTTAATTGTTGTTACAATTATATAAAGCATTGCTGAGGCCATACCTGGAATAGTATGTCCAGTTTTGATCTCCTTACCTGGAGGAGAATTTGGTGGCACTGGAGGCAGTTCAGATGAGATTCACCAGGTTGATTCCAGGGATGAAAGGGCAGTTGAATAGCTTGGGCTCGTACTCATGAGTTCAGAAGAATGAGGGGGGATCTTATTGAGGTACATAAAATGCTGAAGGGGATTGATAAGGTGGATGTGGAACAGATGCTTCCCCCTTAAGGGGCAGTCTCAAAGAAGAGATCATAGATATACAGACTGAGAGAATGTAGGTTCAAAACTGAGATGAGGAGAAGTTACTGCTCTCAGAAGGCTGTGAATCTGTGGAACTTAGTGCTTCAGAGTGCAGAGGAGGAAGAATCAATCATAGAATCCCTACAGTGTTGAAGCAGACCAATTGGGTCCATGGAGTCCACATCGACCTTCCAAAGAGCATCCCATCCAGACCCAGACTCAGACTCAGACTCAGACCCAGCCCCCTACCCTCTCCCTGTAACCCTGCATTTCCCATGGCTAACCTACCTAGCCTGTACATCCCTGGACATGACAGGCAATTTTAGCATCGCCAATCCACAAACTGCATATCTTTGGACTGTAGGAGGAAACCCGTGCAGACATGGGGAGAACATACAAACTCCACACAGAGTCACCTAAGGCTCAAATTGAACCCAGCTCACTGGCGCTGTGAGGCAGCAGTGCTAATCACTGAGCCACTATTCCACCCACAGGGGAGTCACAGCTGGTGCTGGAATTGAACCCGCACAATTGCCATCCATTTAAATCGCAAACTAGCCGGCTAGTCAACTGCCCTAACTAACCCCACTACTAAATGATTCAAGTTGGAAATAGCTATGTTTCTTATGAAAAGCAGGATAAAGGGCTATGGGGAGCAGGAAAGTAGGGCTGAGACCAGGATAAGATCAGCCATGATCATGTTAAATGTCAGAGTATGCTCAAGGGCTGAATTACCTACTCCTGCTCCTGGTTCTTATGTCAGGTATAGACAGCTGGGATCAAGTGAATTCCTTGGTTTGAAAAGAGAGTATAGGAGTACAGTTAAGAGGAAAATCAGGAGGGCAAAAGGAGAGATGAGATAGCTTTGGCAGATAAGGTGAAAGAGAATCCAAAGAGCTTCTACAAGTATATTAGGGGCAAAAGAGTAACTAGGGAGTGAACAGGGCCCCTTAAAAATTGATGAGGTCATCTATGTGTGGAACCACAGGAAAGAGATGAGATCCTTAACTAATATTTCTCACCAGTATTTACTGTGGAGAAAGACATGGAAGCAAGGGAACTCGGGGCAGTAAATAGTGATGTCTTGAAAAAGTCCACATTACACAAGGGGAGGTACTGGAGGTCTTAAAACACAAAGGTAGATAAATTCCCAGGACCTGATCAAGTGTATCTCAGGACATTGTGAGAAGCTACAGAAGAAATTGGGAGGCCTCTAGCAGAGATATCTGTATCAGTGACAGCCATGGGTGAGGTGTCGGAAGACTAGAGGATGGCCAATGTCATGCCAGTTATTAAGAAAGGCTGCAAGGAAAAGCGAGGTAAGTACAGTCTGAAGAACCTAACATCAGTGGTGTGTCAGTTGTTGGAGGGGATTCTGAAAGACAGGATCTACATGCATTTGGAAAGACAAGGACTAATTAGGGATAGTCAGCATAGCTTTGTGTGTGGGAAATACAGTCTCTCAAATTTGATTGGGTTTGTTTTGAATAGGCGACCAAGATGATAGATGAGGGCAATGTAGCAAACGTTGTCTACGCTACCTTTAACAAGGCCTTCGACAAGGTACAGCAAACTTTGTTTTAACCAGCACCTTATCAACCTGCACTCTTGGAAAAACTTGTAAAAATTATGTACGTCAAATATCATGATCTACCGCAGTGTCAGTGTATTTATCCTGTAAATAAAGCATAACAGTGATATGCGCATTGAAGTGTCCGTGTCTGTCTGTGTGGAGTTTGCATGTTCTCCCCATGTCTGCATGGGCTTGGGATGGGTGCTCCAGTTTCCTCCCACAGTGCAAAGATGGGCTGATTAGGTGGATGGGCCATGCTAAAATTGACTTGGGATGTGCAGGCTAGGTGATTAACCATGGTAAATGCGGGATTACAAGGATAGGGTAAGGGGCTGGGTTTGGGTGGGATGCTCTTTGGAGGGTTGGTGAGGACTCGATGACCTGAATGGCCTCTTTCCATGCTGCAGAAATTTTATATATACACATCCTGCAATACATTCCTATTATTGTCTTTTTATATTTATTTTAGGTGGTGTGTTGATTTTTTTTTTAAACATAGTTTTTTGAGAGATGTTGATGCTTTAAAACTGCGCTTGGTCAGGATTTACTGTAGCTTTGCATACCTCTTGATTATCCACAATATTTCATCAACCAGCACACTTCTGGTCCCAAAGATGCCAGTTAATAAAACGTTTGCTGTATCACATGGTAGACCATACAGTATCCAATGGGCTAACTCTCCCTGGATTCAAAATTGGCTTGATGGTAGGAGACAGAAGGTAGAGGGTTGTTTTTCAGACTGGAGGCCTGTGGCCAGTGGTATTGGTGGAACCACTGTTTGTCATTCATATACATGATTTGGATGAGAATATAGGAGGTATAGTAAGTAAGTTTGGGGGCGATACCAAAATTGGTGGCATAGCTGACAGTGAAGAAGGTTATCCAAGAATACAACAGGTTCTTGATCTACTGG